TTTTCTTTTTACTCACCCCCCTCCAAACTCACTAGTGGTGGACTCTCCTCGCCGCAAAGGGAAACAGCTGAACTTCAGAAATACCCCACAGGACAAAGACCACAAAAGGATTGACATTATTGGTCGTAAGCTTTACACCTCTGCTACCCTGCTCCGTAGAGTATCAAACTACACTGCGATGCTCGCAGACTACGATGACTTTAACTATTCCAAGCTGAAGGATCTTATCCAATTCTTACCGGAGCAACAATGGCCAACCCTCTTGAATATCATGCACGAGGGCCATAATGTCGCCTGTACCATTTTGCAATCCGCCATGGATGTAGAGGACACAGCGGCTCGTGTCACAGCGTCTGCCATAGTCTTACACGGGCTCTCATGGCTACAGGCATCCTGCATTCCAAAAGATCTTCAACACAAGGTAGAAGACCTACCTTTTGATAAGATCAGCTTATTCTCGGCCAAAACTGATGAGATATTACATTCCATGAAAGACTCCTGTACTACCCTCAGAATTCTGGGAATGTACACTCCCCCCTTCAAGAGGACCAGATACCAGCCATCCCAACGTCCTAGAGAACCCTTTAGTCAACAGACGAGACAGGATTTCTGTCGGAGACAAAGACCACAGCGCCGTAGACCTCAACGCCAGCAGCAGCAGCATTCAGCTACCCACCAGCCGGTGACCAAACAACAAATTTGAAGTTCATGTCAAGGGCCAGAAAGCCACTTCCACACCACCAATAACCGATACTCTTCAATTCCGCCACCCTCTCCGGACCTTCTACTACCAATGGGTCCACTTTACATCAGACAAATGGGTCCTGGAATTGATCCAATACAGTTATGTCATCCCATTCACTTCTCTTCCACCCACCCACCCCTCTTTCCCGTCCCTCATCAGGGACTCATCTCACGAAACCCTCCTCGATCAAGAGGTGTCACATCTGCTACAACTGGGTGCCATAGAACCAGTGCCACCAGAATTCCACGGTTGGGGATTTTACTCAGCCTACTTCCTAACCCAGAAAAAGAACAGGGGACGGCGACCCATTTTGGATCTAAGATGACTCAACAAATATATCGCCTACCAACGTTTCAAGATGGTTACCTTAGTGACAATAATCCCAGTGCTCGACCAAGGCAATTGGCTTTCAGCTCTCGACCTGCAGGATGCCTATTTTCATATTATGGTCCATCCTGCACACAGACGCTTCCTACATTTCACAGTGGGCGCCCGACTTTACCGATACAAAGTGGTCCCCTTTGGCCTTTCAACTGCCCCAAGGGTCTTCTCCAAAACCCTGGCAGTGGTAATGGCAGCACTCCGATGGCAAGGGGTTATGAGAGACCCATATTTGGATGATTGTTTCAAAAAGGGCTCCTTCTATCATGAAACCAAGGCCATGATTGACACCAGAATGCACCTTCTTGTCAACCTGGGGTTCCACATAAACCACGCAAAATCCTCTCTACTGCCAACACAGACATTAGAGTTCATAGGCGCTTACCTTGACACGGTGGCAGCAAAGGCTACACTGCCCGAATACAGGTTCGTCACCATTTGCGATCTTATCAATGCTGCACGCTTAACCCCTACCATGACGGTGCACCAGTGTCTCAAAATTCTCGGACATATGGCGTCTACGACATACGTAGTCAAAATGGCCAGACTCCACATGAGTCTTCAGTCATGGTTGGCAACATCCTACAAGCCTCTCCAAGACTGTGGCTATCCCGCCTCGTATCCTCAAATCCCTCTGTTGGTGGACAGACCCACAAAACATGTTGGAGGGTGTTCCCTTCCAGGATCCTCCACCTACTCTCACATTAACTACAGATGCCTGGGCTGGGGAGCCCATTTGGACAATATTACAGCAGAAGGCAAATGGTCGCTCATGGAACAAACTTTTCATATCAATTTCCTTGAACTGCAAGCAGTCAGATACGCCTGTCAACGCTTTGAACAATACATAGCGCACAAGTCAATCGCCATCATGACAGACAACACGACGTGCATGTATTACATCAACCGCCAGGGCGGAGCTCAATCCCCATTCCTATGTGCAGAAGCCATCAAGTTCTGGAACTGGTGTCTCATGCACTAAGTTACCCCAACAGCCTACTATCTCCCAGGCGAACTGAACGTCACAGCAGACATGTTAAGCCGCATGTTCCACGACCAACATGAGTGGGAAATAAACAGACATGCTCTCGTTCCACTTTTCCTCCATTGGGGCAACCACACCCAGATCTTTTTGCCACAAAGATCAACAGAAAATGCCATCTTTCCTGCTCGAGAGGCCTTAGGGAGATAATCCCTCGGGGACACCTTTTCCATCTCATGAAGCACGCACCTCCTCTATGCCTTTCCGCCCTTCCCTCTTCTGCACAGGGTTCTCAACAAGATCAGGGCAGATCAGATGCAAGTCATTTTGGTGGCACCTGCGTGGCCCAGACAGACATGGTACCCTTACCTTCACAAGATGGCGATGACGGACCCGCTCCCACTTCCTCTCTATCACGATCGCCTGTCACAAAATCATGGAATGACGCTCCATCCAGACCTTCAGAAGCTCCATCTCCACGCCTGGCTCCTTCATGGCTCCAAAATGCCGAGACTTCCTGTTCAGAGCCAGTGAAAAACATACTGATCAATAGTAGACGACATTCTACTAGGAAAACGTACCTATACAAATGGAAGAGATTTTGCCATTGGTACAACGCCTCACATTCAACACAACCAGAATCCATCCCCATTCCTATCCTTCTAGACTACTTACTTTCATTGAAACTATCAGGCCTGGCCCTTAGCACGATTAAGGTCCATGCAGCTGCCATTGCAGCCTTTCATCACCCTATTGATGGCAAGTCCTTCTTTGCTAATCCATTAACTAAGCGCTTCCTTAAGGGCTTACTCAACACCTTCCCAGCTGTCCGCCCACCAGTCCCTATCTGGGATCTGAACCACGTTTTGAAAAGCTTAACAAAATCTCCCTTTGAACCCATCGTTACCTGTTCCTGATCCCACCTGTCCGTGAAGGTATCCTTCCTGGTGGCTATAACCTCCAGCAGGAGAGTGAGTGAACTGGCGGCCTTGATGACCGATCCTGCATACACAGTGTTCACAAAGGACAGAGTAATACTTCGAACCCACCCAAAGTTCCTCCCTAAAGTGCCCTCCCCCTTTCATGTTAATGAACCCATACACTTACCTGCCTTTTTTCCGAAACCACATGCAGATCCCATCCAAGCTGCTTGGCACACACTTGATGTCTGAAGAGCATTGGCTTTCTACGTCGATCTCACTAAGCCCTGGCGTTTATCTCCTAGGTTATTCTTGTCTTATGCCGAACAATCTAGAGGGCAAGCAGTCTCGTCTCAGAGAATTTCGAAATGGATCACGTCTTGTATCCAAACTTGCTATACCTTATACAATAAACACTTACCTGAAACTATAACCGCTCACTCCATCAATGTCTTCTATGATTGCCTTTCTTAGCAATATTCCTCTTCAGGACATCTGCAACGCCGTCACTTGGTCATCCAACCACACATTTGCACAACATTACACACTTTCCTCTTCAATTGCTTCCTCCATGGCAGTGGGACACGCAGTACTATCCACAGTGACTACCAAACGGCTCCAAACCCACATCTGCAAGCCGACAACCGCTCTGTAGTCACCCAGAGTGGAGCATCCATGGGGACCACTCGAAGAAGAAGAAAGAGTTACTCACCTTGTGCAGTAACGGTGGTCCTTCGAGATGTGTCCCCGTGGGTACTCCACTACTCTTCCTCCTTCCCTTGCTTTGGAGCCTTGCTCTCTAGTGGGTAGAGACGGAATGGAGGAGTCGCGCCACTCAGGTGCCTCAGGATCCCAGTGGCACTAGGGGACACTGGGGCGTCTGCGCTGCGCGGCAGAAACTGCTGGAAAAAGTCTCCGGTCGCCGGCGTGAGGACGCACCAGCACCCATAGTGGAGCACCCACGGGGACACATCTTGAAGAACCACCGTTACTGCACAAGATGAGTAACTCTTTCTTCTCTTGTCAGGTACTAGATCTGAAGTGGCTCATGCCCTTTCCACTACAAAAACTCTGTGCAACTAATGTGGAATGGTATATAGTATACTCATGAATTAAAACATTATAATAGGTAATTGAAACCAACAACAAAAAATCACGTGGGCTCTAGTAATGCACAGGTGAACCTTTGCACCTGTAGGGATCCAATTGCAAGATGCTCTGGTCAATAGTACTGGGTTAGGTCTTATGGGATTTTGTTCAATAAAAAGATAAAAATGTTTTCAGGGTTTCATAAGAAGTATCATATCAGAGAGATGAAGTAACTATGCCAACAGGAGACGCTCTCCCATCAGCATCTTCACTAAGTACTAGAGTGGTTCAGCTGCATCAGTGCACCTATGTCATTGCAAATGCTATATGTGTATACAGGCCCTTAATCTGACCATTCTGTAACCACGGCAGTTTAATGAGGTCTAAAATGAAGATACAGTAAATGTAAGTGTAGGAGAGGGTAATTTTAAAAATGAGTTTCAATACAAGTGCTGTGGGTTTACCAGATGTTATGTGTTTTGAGGTATCTACTTGAATAGTCTCTACAAAATATAGCCTTCTCCTGTCCCTAAAGTAACTGCATTTTAATAGATTCCTATTCTTAAATTCATGAGCTGCCAAATAGGCAAAAAATAGTTCTGAACTTTTAAACCATCTCTCTAGTGAATAGTGTGATCCTACATAAGGATGATCTTGTGGAGAAATCAAAATACTGAAAGATAGGAGAGCTAAGTTCCTTTTTCAGCAATGCCACAGACATACCCTGTGACTTAGTTTTTCAGTGTTATGAGCAACTAAAATGGGGTCTTACACTGGGAAGTGTAGGTTGACCTTAATAGATAATGATTAAATGTACCCTGCCTATAATAATCTCACTGTGTTGAGGAAAGTTTATCACAGCTATTCTCAAATGTTTATGTAGGCCTTCCGAGAAGACCTGGAATGTCTTATTCAAGAACAGATGAAGAAGGGCCATAATCCAACTGGACTTCTTGCATTACAACAGATTGCTGATTACATCATGGCAAGCTCTTTTGCAGGTTTCTCTTCTTCTCCACTGAGTAAGTGAACAATTAGTATAATTGCCAATATTTTTCTAAATTTCTGTCTTCCTTTTATAAGGTGCTGGGACCATATCCATTCAACAGAATTTCTATCCTGGTGTTTAAGCTGTAAAGCAGTAAAAATTGTGGTCTTAAATAATTTTAATCTTAAACTTTCACTCAATATTTGGGATCAGAAAAGTTAAAGGTATAAAAATAGCTTATAGTTAATAGTTTTGCAGCTTATCTCAACAAAACTAATACCCAACCTCATTACGATTTTACTATGGTACACATAAATAGTAATATGACAACTAACATCATAACTTGGCAGCAATTTACTGTAGTAAACTTGCCTTGAATTTTCAAAACTGAGAAGGAACTTGTTCAAATGCATACCTTGCCAGGGGCATGAAAGCGGCTTTTACTAAATAGCAAAATGTAGTAATGAAAAAAGTGAAGATTCTTGCTAGGATCATGCACTGAAGTGACAATCTTCAAGGAAAATTCCTATGGCTAATTTCCAAGATCTTGAATAGTTGAAACCTTATTAAAAAGGCATATTAGCGTTAAACATTCATAAGTGTCTGTGTACAATAGACAATTCTGTCTTTATAGACTGTTCTCTGCATTGCCTGCAGACATGGAGGTGCAAATGGGATAGCCACCTTCATGAAGTGACATAAGCTGTATGGATGAGAATATTGGAATTAGAATGTTTGTAAACAGAAATGAAAAGCAACTAAATGCCTGCAAGCAGCATGAGGATTATTTAAACACACCTTAATCATGGCTCCGACTAATTGTGTACCCCAAATCAGAAGAGACAATAGAGGGCCAAAAAAAATGCCACAATGGTGAAATAGCTGTTACAGGCAAAAAGGGTTCCTTTAAAACTTATAGCCAGGTTCTAGTAATTATGAGAAGATCCACACATTTGGGAATAGCGGCAAGGAGTCCTGTGGCACCTTATAGACTAACTGAAGTGTAGGAGCATAAGCTTTCGTGGGCATGACATGCTCCTACACTTCAGTTAGTCTATAAGGTGCCACAGGACTCCTTGCCGCTTTTGCAGATTCAGACTAACACGGCTACCCCTCTGACATTTGGGAATGTTAAAGACATGGAATAGCTATTTCAGGATACCACCCGAAATGGTGCTGCAGTGTAGACCTAGCCTAAGTGACCCATGACCCAAGCTGCAAATGAATGCAAAAAACTTCCAGGGTCTCTATTCCATTTATGGCTGGGAAGATTGACAGTCAGTAGTCTTCCCAATCATAAATGGGAGAGGAGGTGCTCCATGATACACAATTTAATAGAGAAATTGTTCTGTGATACAGAACAGTTAGAGAAGCTTTGCAATAGTTCTTATTTCCTCCCTCATGACATCCCTAGAATGAACTACAATGACTCAGAATGAGAAATCTAATTGAATGGCTATTCGTGTGCAAAACCCATAGGAGTACTTCCAAAAAGACTGTAAATGTAGCTTAACTCACCAGTACAGAAGGTCTTAAAACATTGGAATCTGTTCAGAAGTATGTTTCCTTGAAGCACAGGAAGTTCAAACCTGAGAGGTGCTGTCTGAGTAGTCCTCTGTCAATAATTTACTCTTCCTTCTCAAAATTTGGGGATTTTAATATTATTTTAGGATACAGTTATGAGGGCCTTATAGTACAAAGGTTGTTACAGCAGACCTAGAAATCACTACACCTGTTCTGCAATCCTACTCTAATGCTGTTAGTTTTTAGACAGTACTGAGATTCTCTACTCCTAATTTAAGTGTACTGCTTTTGGAGAATCACAGAAAGAATTGAATTGTGCAGTTTGCCACCTATTTTTTTCTTTCAGGCCTTGGAATGGTTACAGCTATCAATGACCTACCTGGAATAGACACCACCTCATTTGTTAAGGGAGAAAAACTTACTCGTTGTAAATTAGCCAGCTTATACAGATTGGCTGACTTGTTTGGATGGGCACACTTAGCAAACTCCTACATCACTGTGAGTATTTTTAAGAGTAAAAATAATTTGGTTTTTTTCACCTGTATGTTTAATTTTTCAAGGATTATTTAACTTAATACAATAATAAATCAGCAGTCTCTTCCCCCTCCTTTGTAGGTAAGAGTAAGCAAAGAACATGACCACATTCTAATCATTCCAAGAGGCCTGTCTTTTTCTGAAGCTTCAGCTTCCAATTTGGTATGTGCATCCGTTACATTAATAATAATCACTGAGGCTTAGAATGTTTTGTGACAGTTTTGCATCTACTAAAGCAGAATATTAACATCAGGCTTTTGTTTTTCTTTTTGAAATTCACACAATCATCTGGTGAACAGCCAGATTAATTTTTGGGATTATACAAAAAAATCTCTGCTCCTGAACCCTTATGTCCAGGTTTTGTATTCACTTTTCACTGCTTTAGTTCTAATGAAGTTTTAATTTTCAGCAAACTTTTTGCATTTTAGCTGGGCTCCCACCTGGTCTACAAAAGCAAGTCAAATAGAATATATCAGATACTTTATAAGTATAACAACCACTTATCAGTAATGCATAGTGCTTTGGTCTTCAAATCACTCAGCATGTATTAATCACATGAGATCCTTGTCAACAATAAGGAATATATTATTATCACCATTTCATAACTGGAAAATTGGGAGCAGCAAAGAAAAATAAATTGTCCAAGGTCAAAATGGAAACTGGCTTAAAGGCTCCTAATTCAGTGTCTAGACAGCCAAATTAGGCATTTTGCAGTGTTGTGAAAGACCTGGAAAGTTTGTTACCAAATAGTCATATCTACTGGTGAGTCTTGCTGACAGTTTTTGGAAGAGAACAGCAGATAGGTGGTGCAATATGGTCAACTTCCAAAAATAGAGCTAAAAAAATAAGCATAAGAATTGGATTTTATATGCTGCTTTTATTACTTCTGTTACAGTTTAGGGATTTTTTTAAAATTGTCTGCAACTTTTAATGTGTTTAATTGCAGTTGTTCCGAGATTGAATCTTTGTTTTCACATTAAATTGTATTAAAATTGCAAGTGCAAATTAGAAAAATTAGCAGGTCTAATTTATGTTATAACACAGTACATTAATAATTGTCTAAATATATAGTTTATCTGAAGTGTTCATTTGAAATGCTCATTTTTAGCATCTATTCTTAAACTACAATAGTTAAGGATGTATTTATAGGTATCTGTATGCTAAATATATCTTTGAACAGAAGCTTGTTATTTGAGACTCTCCTGCAGGCTTTCTACTCCAACTGAGTATGCTTGGTATACTATGCTGCCATCTCTTCCTTTAGCTAAGGGGCAACCAGATCAAAGAGGAATTTCTTCATCTGTTTATCAGGATTTGGCCTTTACCTTTTCCTTGGCTGTTTCCTGACAGCAGGACTATATACTTACAAGTGTTAGGGCAGCCAGAACTAAACATTATGTTATAAATGAATGTGGTAAAAAGAAAAACTTAGCTTGCTTTAGTAGAGATGAAACTAAGCATAAGTTTAAGAGCAAATATGATA